GACTCAATGGACATGAGTTTGAGTAAACTCCGGGAGTTGGTGATGGACAGGGAAGCCTGGCGTGCTGTGGTTCATGGGGTTGTAAAGAGTTGGACACGACTGAGCGACTGAACCGAACTGAACTGAAGGAGAACCAACCGTATAGCTCAGGGAACTCGACTCAATGCTCTGAGATGGCCTGAACAGTAGGGAAACCCATGAAGACAGGCTAGGTGTGTACATAGAGCTGACTCACTTTGCTGTTCAGTGGGAACACAACTGTAAAGTGTGAACACAAGTTGTAGAGCAACTAAACTCCGATAAAAATTAACTTTAAAAAATAATTAATTCACTCACTTCATCTAACACAGGATATGGCCTGCCAGTTGGCTGATTGTAGTTTGATTCAACCTCCTGTTTTCAATAAACTTCTCCAACTAGAGGAAACACACTCTTCAGCATCAGTGTGTTCACATCTGGAGAAGATCAGTATAGTCAAGTTACCAGTTGTTTTTTTTTTTAAGCTGAAAGGTGTCAAGTGTTTATTTTAGGAGCTCAGGAGGCTGCGATAAGGACTAAAGGCTGAGCAAACGGCAATGTAACCTCTCTACTTAGAGGGAGACAGCAGGAGGGGAACACCTCACAACCAGCTGACAGACAGAAACGGGGGCCACGACGTATGTGGGACCCACACAGGAAGGGGACCCGTGGGACCCGTGGCTGAAGGACACACAGAAAACCTCTAACATTTTTTGTTGACAGTGCACATCACATGAGGAAAAATACGTAACCCAAGAGGAAGTAATGAAGCTGCTTTATTAACTCCAGAGAGCTTTTCCTTGCTTAAACCTAACCTCACATGCAGTTTATTGCTTTATATAATACCTCCAAAGTTTCTTTAAAACCCTACCAACCACTTGCATCTCAGCAAACCATGCTTGTTTGATGCTGTTGACATGTACTGCTTTCTTAAGCCAAGAGACAGAGTATATTTTTGCTAACTGTGTCCTGAGATGCTTTAATTCATCTAAATCAGAATCAAGACACAAGTAGTTATGTAAAGGTCTGCTTTACTGTTAGGCAAAAAAAAAAAAAGTGTAAGATGTAAAATAATTTTTTCTAATTTTGAAGTGTGGCTGTATTATCAATTCTTCCAAAAGAGTATGAAAAATGAGTTCAGTGTGTACGTTCCCTCACCTTGACCAGAGCATTGGCCGGACTGTTCTACCCCTCACATCCTCACCCCTGGAGGAGCCAGGACTGGGGCGTGACGAGTGTCTGCTCCAGTCAGAACCCAGGGCATACACAGTGAAGTCCAGGGAAGTCACTGACAGTGCAGTCGACTCTCAACTGCTCAGAGACAAGCACAGCCTTGACTGTGTCTATTTCTTGCTTCACTGTTGTCTGGTTCCTGGAACTTCAAGTGTTTGTACCAGAGTACGTACAGAAAGAAAAACAGAGCCCCCAAGTCCATGCGTTCTGCTTGAACGGAACGCAGTAATATACGAGGATGGGAGCCATCTGACCCCCCAGCTCCACGTGTGTTTCAGCTCATCTGTGGACTTGAAGTCCTGGCTGTCCTCACTGCTATTGAAAGTAAAGAGCCTCCTGTCACTGCTTCCAGCCAAGCTAGATCTGACCTTGGGCACAGCAAAGAAGCAACACAGCTATCAAATACTATTTATCAAGCGTTATGTTCCGAACACATCCAAAAAATTTCCCAGGTGGCACAGTGGTAAAGAATCCACCTGCCAATGCAGGGGAAGTGGATTCAATCCCTGGGTCAGGAAAGATCCCCTGGAGGAGGAAATGGCAACCCACTCCAGTATTCTTGCCTGGGAAATCCCATGGGGTCCACGGGGTCGCAGAGTCAGATATGACCGTGACTGAGCACGCATGCGCGCACACACACAGACACACACACACACACAGAGCTGACAGCACAGCTCCGCTGTGGCAGAAAGAACTGGGCATTTGGAGCCAGAAGACCCGAGCGCCCGCTCCGCTGCTCAGTCTGCATGAAGTGGGGCCAGTGTGTTGTCCCATGGTGAGCTTTCTTTCTCTACGATACCAAGTGGACAACAATCACAACCACATCACAGGGAACTGTCAACATGAAATCAGATGACAGAATACAGGTGAAAGGGACTTCCCTAGTGGTCCAGTGGCTAAGAATCCACCTGCTAATGCAGGAGACATGAGTTCGATCCCTGGTCTGGGAAGATCCCACATGCCGTGGGGCAGCTAAGCCCATGCGCCACAACTACTGAAGCCGGTGCTCTGAAGCCCACGTGCTGCAACTACTGAGCCCACGGCCTAGAGCCTGTGCCCCCAACTACTGCAGTGAGAAGCCTCTGCGCCACACCTAGAGAGCAGCCCCCAATTGCTGCAGCTAGAGAAAGCCCGCACCTGGAGACAAAGACCTGGCACAGCCAAATATAAATAAATAAACTGCTACTTTAAAAAAAATGTGAAAAACACCAGAAAATGTGTTTTAAAAAAAAAGCATTAGCAATTAGAAGCAGTTACTGTGACACTGTCGGCTGAAACTAATACGATTACTGGGTAATTCTCTTGACCAACTGGTGGCAGAACTAGGTTTCCAAAAGGGGGGCCAGAGCCCCCTGGTCTGGTAGACTTCACATCCATCAGGCAACATGGACATCAGAGTCCCTAAAATCCAGCCACCTTATACTATCTTTCCAAACAAACAGGTCCAAGTTTAAAGACAGCCTGCCACAGCAACTCCACTGTGAAGTTCTCAAGATATCTTTTAGATCTCAGGCTTCAATGATCCCAAACCCAATTAACAGCAGTAAATCAGTACATCTGGTTTGGGGAGGTTTGGTCTTTATGCTCCTAACAGACTTGGAAGATTTTATAACTTTTATAAAACCTTTGACTCAAAATTGAAATACAAAAGCATTTGATAAATATCTGAAAGGATTATCATAACCTTATGCAAAATAAGAAAGCAGTAATCTAGATTGTTCAGAATGACCATATTAAAATTAGCTAACTCTTTTTTTCATTTCTGTAGAATATGAAAACTACAACTGAGACCATCCCTAATTTTACCACTTTACTGCCAACTTGAAAAATGTGTTTCAAAAGAGAATATACCACCATCCCCATTCCTAACACTGATATATACTCCAAGGGCAGCTTCAAGATCAAATAAATCAATTTGAGCACTTCTGCTTGCTATTTAAAAAAAAAAGAAAAGCAGTCTAGTTCAGTTCTCTTGACACTTTTTAAATGAAAGGTATTTATCAAAAATTATCCCTCCAGATTATGTAAAAAACAAAAGGATATTAAACCTAGGTTAAATTTATGATAAGTGAAATTTTTAAGTTCTATATTGATTTTTAATAGTATTTTAGGACTTCTTGTATGATGAATGCATATATTTATTTAGACTGATTTTAATAGGACTTAGAATTTATTGTGACTATTTTAGATAACCATGAAGGTTTATAGCAAACTTACTTTTAAGATAGTGTTGACTATAACCAGACCTGAATTGATGTCAGTGTTTTAAACAATGCCATAATTCCAAATTATAGTATTCTTTTATCTGTAAAATATGTTCCTCTTTAAAGCATCATTTGTAAATATCATATTATCACATAAATTATATAAATGAACTCCCCACTTAGCTCTAATCCCACAAAAATGACAGCTGGTTTAGAAATCTCTCCTCTATAAATATCACACTCTTGGTAAAACTGAGAGTCTTTTCATGGAAAAAAAAATAAAATATGTGCTAAAATTAGAAAATGCAAAAGACTGTCTAATCCTCAATTTGAGAAAAGTGCTGTTTGAAGTAAGGTGAAAAAAACAGATAAATTATGTATTTATATTTAAGATAGACTATTTAAAAAACAGTATCACCATAATGCAGAATTCTGTAATGGCATCAAAAAATTAAATAGAAACATCTATGTGCAGGATTTCCTTAAGAAGGAGCCATGGCTTGTAAGACAAACATTTTTTACTTTTCTCTGTATATTTACACATGAGCAAATACACATCCTTACTTAAAAGTTCTGATGTGTGAGTGTGAAATGAATATAAAAATAAGGAACAGCGTGAGAAAGACATTTTTTTGACATTCCGTTACCTTGAGAAATCCCCTCTCATTCTTCACAGCTTGGAGTCCACATTTGGACATAACAGGACACTCTTTTGCAAAATGGATTATTATCCACTTACAGTCTCCAAGATTGCCACAGCTGAGCATTTCCACTTCCAATTTAAAACACTGCTCTAATCACTCCTTAGAAGGGCCACAGCCTCTCATGTTGCAACACAAAATTGTCTTTTCTAATTGATCTTGGTGACTGAAGTGCTATAAGGAGGAAGACTGATTATATAAGTGCTTGCACTTCCAATAATATATCTGTCATTATCCCCTTCTTGAGTTGAGCTCATATCTGATTTGTCCTTTTTTTTTTAAAGGCAGTGTGGATTTTTAAAGTTCAATAAAAATGAATAATCCAAAACATACTTCTATCACCATGAAACTTCTTGCATGTTTTCACTGCAACAAAAATATCCTCCTTCTTCACTGGATTTCCCTTTAAAAAAAAAATGCATAACGTGAGTCGATGTATCTTAACAGCACACCCAAATTAGTTGTCACATGCTCTCGAGTTCAAATTCACCAATGTCAAGGACATCAAACTTGTCTCCAGAATCAAGTTTCAGGGGACGACTGTATCTCCGAGGACCACAAATGCTCTGCTCAGCCAGAGGGGTGGGGTGGGGTGGTCATCCCTGATAGCTCAGTTAGTAAAGAATCCACCTGCAATGCAGGAGACCCCAGTTTGATTCCTGGGTTGGGAAGATCCCCTGGAGAAGGAATAGGCTACCCACTCCAGCATTCTTGGGCTTCTCTGGTGGCTCAGCTGGTAAAGAATCTGCCTGCAATGCGGGAGACCTGGGTTCGATCCCTGGATTGGGAAGATTCCCTGAGGAAGGGAAAGGCTACCCACTCCAGTATTCTGGCCTGGAGAATTCCATGGCCCATGTAGTCCACGGGGTCGCAGAGTCAGACATGACTTGAGCAACTTTCACTCACTCATAGCCAGACGGAGACCAGAATCCCAGCCGTGCCATCCCCCCTGCATCACCTGGACGAATGTCCTCTAAATTCCAGCTCATTCAGGAAATTGGGATGATAACCACCAGCACAGCTGCTTTTATTACGACTATTTATTACGAACATCACAGGTGCCCAGTAAGTGTTGGTTACCTTCCCTTTCTTTTTTCTAGCTGGTGAAAATTGTTTTAAAAGGGAGAGAGAAGTAGAAGGATGTTTTAGTGACTCCCTTTAGGGAGCCTTGCCTCACTTTGATGTTTACAGTATCTTTATGGCCCTTAATGGTCCACGCAAGTCTAGGCAACAGTGGTACTCTGTCCTCTGCCAAAGGCAGGATTATGTCAAACATCTGGGGGGTTCCTGGAGCCCTGCGCTGGCTCCAGCCCAGGCTGGTCACTCAAGTGAAGGGGTCACAGAGGCGCTTGTGGACAATCCACCCCCTATGCTGTGGGTGCTTCACAGTGGGGGCCAGGGCAGGGGCTGACCCCCTTTATCACCATCTCAGGGCTTTAGGGACATTCAATCCTGATTCTGCATCATCTGGGGCTGGTTTACAGTGACATGCAACTGTAGTTTCGTCATGCCATTCAAGGCACTAGGAGGTCAACCTTTCCAGATTTTCCAGAAGAACATTAAAGAAACAAGCAAGCACAATGACAATGTCTGGAAAGACATTTCCCTCTCAAGTACTATGCCAACAGTACAGATTCTCTCCCACTGTTAGTGTGTGTGTGTGTGTGTGTGTGTGAATACACATGTGTGTGTGTGTGAATACACATATTCCTCTTTGAAAATTCAACCCAGACTTCTGTGTCAGTGACTTGGAAATAAGGGACAACAGATGAGGCAGTGAATCTGCTTTTCCTTATGAGGAAGGACTGCTAACCACCCAGCTGCGTGGTCTTCAGGTTCATCCCGGGGACTGGACTGAGGGTCCACCATAAGCAGATGCATTCTGAAAGTTGTGGACAGTCTCAGGTGAGGTCAGAGCAGGGTCACTGGCTGAGACGTGGGTAGAGATGGGCTTCAGGAGAGGGCTTAGGAACAACTGGAAATGTCTGACATTGCCTTTCTAGGAAACAGACCAGGAATTGCAGCAGCTCTGTGCTATTCCTTCAACCAAAGAACTGACCCGGGGGCCATGCCTCTGCAGCTCCGGGTGCTCGCTTCTCGTGTGTCCAGTAGGGGAACAGTGGTGCTCACCTTACGGGGTTATCATCCCCAGAAACGTGACATACAGTTCTCACGGGGCAGGTGGCAGGTGTCGGTGTTTGTTCAGTGTGTGAACTGCTAGGGCAACATCACGCATGGCATGTATATTTCCCTTTCGCACACGAGGAAGCTGTCCTTCTGTTACTCACACAGAGCGGCAGGGAAGACTGGAACGAGGTGGCGCAGGAGGAGCCCACCCTGTCTGTACAGAACTCGGGCACGGGCGTGAGCGGGAGTCCGTCCCCTCCGTCCCAGATGTAGAGCGCGATCTGTCACACAGGAAACCGGCGTGAATGAGAGCCAACAACCACCGTCCACGGAGGTGCGCCATGCCTCCAGGGAAAGCTACACCTCCCCTTCTCTGAGAACATCACACGGAACCACATCTACATGGCAGCATTCTGCAGGCTTCCCAATAGGTGGCGCTAGTGGTACAGANGTAAGAATACTGGAGTGGATGGCCATTTTCTTCTCCAGGTTATCTTCCCCAAACAAAAACCAAATGAACAAACAGAACAAAAACATAAATGGACACATAGATTCAGTGAAAAAAACAGGTGGTTCTAAAGGATTTAGGGGTGGTGGAATGAGGGAAACAGATAAGGGAGATTAAGAGGTACATATTTCCAGTTACAAAGTGAATGAGTCATGGGGCTGAAATGTACAACATGGGAAATGGGGCCAATAATATTATAAAAATAAATAAATAAGCAAACACAAATATATAAATAAAGTAAGAGTTGTTTCAAAATGTAAGCAGTTGTGAATATGCTTTAGCATATTTTTGGAGGAAGAATATGTGATTTGAATAAAATTATTCCTGTCCTTGATTAATGAGTACCCTAAAAAAAAAAAAAAAAGAATCCACCTGCCAATGCAGGGGATGGGAGTTCAATCCGTGCCACAAGGCAACTAAGCCCGGACACCACAAGTGCCAAGTCAGTGTGCTGCAGCTACTAAGCCCGCAGGCCTGGGGCCTGTGCTCTGCGACAGGAGGGACCCCCGCAACGAGAAGCCCGCGCTGCAGAGAGCAGAGAAAAGCCACTGAGCAGCAACAAAGACTCTGTGCAGCCAATAAATTAATTCTTTTAAAAAAGAATCAATATTCGGACCTCCAACACATTTCTAAACTGTCATAAGCAATTCCAGGGAAGCTATTTCAAGGATTCTAAAGCATCACAGAGACAGATAAAACGTTAAGATCATCGTGACTCTGGTTTCCTGCAGGATGGTAATTACACACCCAACAGGCTGAAACTATCTAAAAATACTGCATAAAATATCTTTAAAAGCTTTTTAATGTACTGCTAAACTGGCACAAAACATGGAGCTTACAAAGACAAAAATGGAAAGTGAGAACCTGGGAGAGAAGGTCCCTGAGGGTCGTTTTCCCTCGCAGGTATCAGCTGGGTTCTGGGCATGCTGAGGTTCTGATATGTGTTAAAGAAAATAAAGCCCATGACCCACCCAAGTGGGGGTGTCTAACAGCAAACCCCCACATGAAGCTGGGACTTTGGCACTAGATAGGGAAAACTCATCTCCAGCTATCCTGAGATTTTGTAACCGAGAGCCAGGCCTCCCTAATCTGTCACCTACATAGTCCAAAAATACGTTAAACAGAGTGGCCCTGAGTCAGTATGAATCTCTAGCAAGAAGGCAAAAGTTAATGCAAAGCCTTACTGAGGAGCCCATAACCTTAACAGGATTTGCAGACTGTCACAGGTGAAGTCCCCAGGAGCAAGAGCACTCAGAAAAATCACAGAAAGTAGAACAAAGACAGGAGATGAAGAGCAAGAGCCAGCGGACACAGCTTAATCAGGCCCACCCAGAAGAATCCAGGGATTGGAATGATCAAGCACACAGATTAGAAAACTACTGTCTCATATATTTTTATAAAGAAAAGCTTTAAGACATGAGCAAAATTTCGGAAAGATTACCCAGGAAAGCAAATTTGAAAAAGAAATATCTATCTAGAATGCCAAGACATGAAAAATATAAGCTGAAAATGAACATTTTAATGGCAAGGATAAGCAGCCTACCATATACACAGCTGAATAAAAACTAGGGGACTAAAAGATGAAGCCCCCCAAATTATCTGAACTGTAGCTCAGCAAGAAACAGAGATGGGGAACAGGAAAGAGAAGTGCAAACCTCTGGCATATGTCTAAAGTTCCAGAAAGAGTAACAGAGGGGAGGAGAAAACAGTTGAAAAGACAGTGGCTGAGAATTCTTTTTAATTGCTTAACAATTCTGTTATAGAAAGGCCCAATGAATGCTAAGTAAGATGAGAAAAAAAAAAATAGTCTGCGTCTAGACACTGGTGTTGCTATTCAGTCACTCGTCATGTCCAACTCTGCCACTGCAGCACTTCAGGCTTCCCCACCCTCCATTATCTCCCAGAGCTTGCTCAGACTCATGTCCATCAAGTTGGTGATACCATCCTACCATCTCATCCTCTGTCGTCACCTTCTCCTCTTGCCTTCTATTTTTCCCAGGGGTCTTTTCCAATGACTAGGCTCTTTGCATCAGGTGGCCAAAGTACTGCCGCTTCAGTTTTAGCACCAGTCCTTCCAATGAATATTCAGGGTTGATTTCCTTTAGGATGGACTGGTTTGATCTCCTTGCAGTCCAAGGGACTCTTAAGAATCTTCTCCAACACCACAGTTGAAGAGCATCATTTCTTCAGCACTCAGCCCTCTTTATGGCCCAACTGTCACATTTATACATGATTACTGGAAAAACCATAGCTTTGACTGGATGGACCTTTGTTGGCAAAGTAATGTCTCTGCTTTTTAATATGCCGTCTAGGTTTTTCATAGGTTTTCTTCCAAGCAGCAAGTGTTTTTTTAATTTCATGGCTGCAGTCACCATCTGCAGTGATTTTGGAGCCCAAGAAAATAAAGTATAGGGTGTATGTGTGTGCATGAATGTGTGTATATGTTAGTCGTTCAGTCATGTCTGACTCTTTGTGACCCCATAGACTGCAGCCCGCCAGGCTCTTCTGTCCATGGAATTCTCCAGACAAGACTACTGCAGTGGGTATCCATTCCCTTCTCCAGGGGACCTTTCACACCCAGGGATTGAACCTGGGTCTCCTACATTGCAGGCAGATTCTTTACCATCTGAGCCACCAGGGAAGCCCTCTACACACACACACACACACACACACACACACACCCATAGTGAAACACACACACACACACACACACACACCCATAGTGAAACACACACACACACACACACACCCATAGTGAAACACACACACACGCGCGCGCGCGCGTGTGCGCGCACACACACACACACACACCCCATAGTGAAACTGCTCCTTGGAAGAAAAGCTATGACAAACCTAGACAGTATTAAAAAGCAGAGACATTACTTTGCCAACAAAGGTCTGTCCAGTCAAAGCTATGGTTTTTCCAGTAGTCATGTATGGATGTGACAGACCACAAGGAAGGCTGAGGACCAAAGAATTAATGCTTTCAAACTCTGATGCTGGAGAAGACTCCTGAGAGTCCCCTGGACAGCAAGAAGACTAAATCAGTCAATCCAAAAGGCAAGTAACTCTGAATACTCACTGGGAGGACTGTTGTTGAAGCTGGAGCTCCGATACTTTGGCCACCTGATGTGAAGAGCTGACTCATTGCAAAAGACCCTGATGCTGGGAAAGATTGAGGGCAGGAGGAGAAGTGGGTGACAGAGAATGAAGTGTTTGGATGGCATTACTGACTCAACAGACATGAGTCTGAGTGAACTCTGGGAGACAGAGAAAGACAGGGAAGAGTGGCATGCTGCAGTCCATGGTGTCGCAAAGAGCCAGACACGACTGATTGACTCAACAAGTGAAAACAGCAGAACACCAAAGACAAAGAACGATCTTAAAAGCAGCCAGAGAAACAGCAGATTGGCTACAATCAGGTGAGAGTGATGGCTTATCACCCAACACAACAGCAGTAACAGAAGAAAGGGCACAGGGGAGCAGCGCTGCTGTGATGAGACAAAAGGTCTCACAACCTGGACTTGAACACACAATGCAATCATGCCTCAAGAACAAAGCTGAAATAAATTATCTTTAAAGGAAAACCTGAGAATTTGCCACCTCACTGAAAAGGAAATTCTGAACTATATACTTCAGGAAGAATAAAAATGATCTCCATTAGCAGGGTCCAGAAGCAAAACAAAATAGTGAGGAAATACAGGGTTTAAGTTAATGCAAATGGTAACTGCATAAAGTAAGGGCAACATCTGAGTTGCAGAGTTAAAAGGAATGACAGAACAAAGCTGCTGGACAAAAGAGCATCAGATTGAGAGAGGGATATATGCTCAGGTCCTTAAATTTTCAGGATATTGATTAATTAGACATGGTTAGGTAAGCATCACCCATTCAATGGACATGAACTTGAGCAAACTCTGGGAAACAGTGGATAACAGTCTGGCCTGTTGCAGTCCATGGGGTGGCAAAGAGTCAGACAAGACTTAATGACTAAACAACAAGGTTAAGCATGCATGTTAAAATGTTTAAAATAACCATTAAGAAAAAGACACTGAGACTCAACTTCCAAAAGGGTTAGGGTTAGAAAAAGAAAAATGGGAGAGGGAACAAAGGTGCAAATTAGGAAACATGGGATCGATCCCTGGTCAGGAAGATCCCCTGGAGAAGAGAATGGCAACCCGCTGCAGTATTCTTGCCTACAAAATCCAATGGATAGAGGAGCCTGGTGGGCTACAGTCCACAGGGTCACAAAAGAGTCAGTCACGAGTAAGTGACCGACAACAACAAATCCTGAAAAATGTAAATGCAAATTTGCTACGTGGTTTGAAGATAAAGGTTGTCAAACTGGGAGAAAAAGATAAGCATATCCTCTTCAAGAGAAACACATCAAAAGATGAGGACATGAAAGTACTGAAAGAAAAAAAGATGAAAAACGATTATGAGGCAAACACCAAAAGAAAGCTAGTATAGAAGTGTTCCTATCAACAAGATAAACACTGAGGCAACAAGCATTACTAGAGATAAAGATAATTTACCAAGAGAACATGACAATTTTAAACCCGTATGCTTCTTACTGACATAGCCCCAGACTATAAATAGCAAGAGTTGGCAGTTCCACAAAGAGACACTGTCACCACTCATAGGGAAGATTTTCATATCCCTCCCTTAGTAAATGACATATCAAGCAGACAAAACAAAAAAAAAGGAGGAAGGGAGAGAGGGAGGAAATATGTGAAAAGCACACAAGATTAACTGATATATCTATTTCTTATTTAGCAGATACAAGTGAAAGCGTTAGTCATTTAGTCATGTCTGACTCTTTGCGACCCCATGGACTCTAGCCCGCCAGGCTCCTCTGTCCGTGGGATTCTCCAGGCAAGAATACTGGAGTGGGCAGCCATGCCCTCCTCCAGGGAATCTTTCTGAACCAGGGATCAAACCCAGGTCTCCTGCATTGCAGGTGGATTCTTTACCATCTGAGCCACCAGGAAAGCCCCAATACATATGAAGAGAATAATGTACCCTCCAATCAGAGCACATATATCCTTTTCTCCATTTGTGAAAACTGAACATGAACCTGGTCTTAGAGTTAAGCCTAAAAATATTTCAAATGACTGTTATACAAACCAGTCATGCTAAGCTGGAAATCAACAACAAAACACAAGAACAACACACAAGTACACTGAGTCACAATGAAAAATATATTTTTTAAAGTGAGTCCCAGTCACAAAACAATCCAAAAGCTCTGCTGTACAGAAACTCTTACAGATGATCACCATGACATGTGTAAAAGATGTTCACAGAAACAGTGACTGTAATAGCAAAAAGCCAGGAGTGACCCAGAGGCCCACAACCAGGAGGCTGGGCAAATGCACCATGGTATAGTCCTGAGACAGACTTTACAGAAAGTGATGATAAATTCATTAAAGCTGCACATACCAACACAGATGAGTTTCAAATCAAATTATAATCATATTCATGGTACAGTTCTGTTTACATGAAGCCCAGAAGAATGTGAAACTACATAGTATATATTCAGAGATACATTCATACTTTATAAAATAATGAAGAAAAGGGGAGAGGGAGAGAATTCAAGAAAGCTATTTACTCTGGTGAGAACAAAGTGAGGTCCTCTTGGGGAGATACATCCAGGCAACCAGTCAAGTTCTCTCTCTTAAACACAGATATTCTGACTTAATGTTTATACCTTTCAGGTATGTTAAGAGCTTTTTCCCCTTTTTTTGTATGTTATTCAATATTCCATAAGCTCCCAAACCTGGGAATCTATACCTGAGCTGATTATTCATTAAAAATATCTCAACAGACCCTGGCTTTCAACTAGTCATTCCCTCCCTCTCATGGAAAAGAATGATTCCTGACATGTATTTTCATAATTTAAAAACACCCCTCAAATGAAAATCCTTCGAGTGCCCTTTCTGCTCCTGGCAGGCGGCCAGTGCTGCTGGACTGAGCTACGTGTCATGACTGACCCCAATGTCCTAAGACTCAGAATTCTCTGGAGGGAAACGAGGGTTGGTCATCAGATGTACCCACGAATAAGCTGCACAGAGAGACCTTCCTAACTGATGATCAGAGACTACTGGATTCACGATGGCATGCCTGCCACCTGCCTCAGGATGCTTAGCGACCAGTGTCCACTAAATGCCAGGGTACCAGATGGCTCCATCCTGCTGCAGAGTGCCAGCGCAGACGCAACAGAGGCATGTGAGCAACCGATGCACCAGATTAGACCAGAGACGCGATGGAGGCATGCAAGCAACCAACGCACCAGATTAGACCAGAGACGCGACGGAGGCATGCGAGCAACCGATGCACCAGATTAGACCCGAGACGCGACGGAGGCATGCGAGCAACCGAAGCACCAGATTAGGCCAGAGACGCGACGGAGGCATGCGAGCAACCGAAGCACCAGATTAGGCCAGAGACGCGACGGAGGCATGCGAGCAACCGACGCACCAGATTAGGCCAGAGAAGCGACGGAGGCATGCGAGCAACCGACGCACCAGATTAGGCCAGAGACGCGACAGAGGCATTCGAGCAACCGATGCATCAGATTAGGCCAGAGACGCGACGGAGGCATGCGAGCAACCGACGCACCAGATTAGACCAGAGACGCAACGGAGGCATGCGAGCAACCAACGCACCAGATCAGACCCGAGGTATTTTAATGACATTTTGGCAAGTTTTTTAAACATTCACCTCTGGCTTCCCTGGTGGCTCAGGCAGTAAAGAACCCACCTGCAATGCAGGAGACCCAGGTTTGACCCCTAGATCAGGAAGATGCTTCTCCAGGGGAGAAGGCAACCACGCCCCCCCCCCAATATTCTTGAAAATCCCATGGACAGAGAAGCCTCGTGGGCTACAGTCCATGGGGTGGCAAAGAGTCAGACACAACTGAGCAACTAACACTTTCACTTGAGTAATATAGAATTCTACTGTTTTCTGTTAACCAATCATAATATAATGGTATTAAGCGAATAACATTACATAATCACAAAAGTAAAAGATGTTTATAAGTTTTCGCAATGAATAGCCAGACAAAAAATAATTACAATTAAAAGCCATAATGGAAATATGATTAACCTAACACTATAAAATAATTACCTACAACTTGGGGGGTTAAGTAGAGTGATGTAGTAAGTGGAAGTGCAAACATGCAGGTGTTTTCATCTGCCAGCCTTTGTCTTTTGGTTGGTGCATTAAACCTATTTATGGTTAAGGTAATTATCGATGTGTATGATCTTATTACCATTTAAAAATACACAGATTCTGGATTACGAACACCTTTAACCAAACAAATTCACGACCCACCTCATGTTTTAAATCTATCGTGAAGTCAGACTTCAGGGATTCACTCTTTAATCTCTTTGTAAGCCTAGAAAATAAGAGATAATGTGAGGTTTTTTAAAAACCAATATAGGCATCAAACAAGAGTAATACATTCTTGAGACTTTCTAATATTTGAAAACAAAAATGGAAATTTTAAGGTAAAAGTTAAGACTTTCATTTCCTTAAGGCAAAGGACTATGAAAACAGAATTATTTGTGCACCAGGAAATGAAGGGAAGACTTGTTGCAAACACAGGTTTCACTATTTCAACACCTGGAAAATACCATAAAACACAATACGACATAATAAATGTCTTTCAAAAAGCCATAAAGTGTGTTAACTCTTGATAATCCTTGACTGAATAACAGAAAGGAACAGAAAAAAAGCTTGCATGACAAGGAAACACAGGTTGCTACGTTTCAGTCTCCTATTTTTAACGACCCTGATGAACTACAGTTTGTGGAGTTTTCAGGGGGAGAGAGCAGATGGTTTCAGGAAAGAATAACAGTTTCAAGTTATTTTCTTGCTTCAAAAAATCATTAATGGCTCTTTTCAACACAGAATAATGCCCCAAACCCCACCAGGCTCTAGAATCCCGGGCTCCTCAGCACCCTCCTGCCACCCCCAGAGCACACCCCTGGCCTAGTTCACCCCGACCCAACCTTCACCTGGCAGCCTTTTCTTTAAGACCAAATTCAAGGGCTTCCAGACTTTCCCTCAAGACTAAACAGAAGCTTCCTTTGCTCCCAGAGTGGAAGCACAGCCCATTCATCCATCACACACAGCAGCCCCATAACACCCTCTATACTCCTCCTACTGTGTACCCCCAACACTACCCACTGCCCCGCAAAACCAGTGATCAGTGAGCAACCTGGATGGGTGAGAGCAAATGTCAATATATTCCTTGATACCAAGCTGAGTGAGAGAGAATTACACACTCACCAAGACCACTCAGATGCCACACGGTTCTATGCTTGTCACAGGACTAGAGGTAGGACCCCTCACTGCAATTACAAACCTCCTAATAAATATTCCCTGGTGGCTCAGATGGTAAAGGATCTGCCTGTAACACAGGAGACCCAGGTTCTATCCCTGGTTTGGAAAGATCCCCTGGAGGAGGGAATGGTTACCCACTTCAGCATTCTTGCCTGGAGAATCCCATGGACAGAGGAGCCTGGCAGGCTGCAGTCCATGGAGTCGCAAAGAGTTGGACATGACTAAGTGACTAACACTTTCACTTAATAAATATTTTTAACTGCAAAGAAATCACAGTGATTTTAAAAAGAAAAGTAGTATCAAATTTCCAAAGTCCTTACTGAGTTTTCAGCCTAGCTGAAGCACAAATATTTCTTTAAAAAAAAAAAATATTTTAACTGGAGGATAGTTACAATACTGTGCTAGTTTTTGCCATATATCAACATGAATTGGCCACAGGCATACCCATGTCCCCTCAATCCTGAACCCCTCCACCTCCCTCCCCAACCCGTCCCTCCAAGCTGTCAGAGAGCACAGGCTTTAGACGCCGTGTCACAGAGATGAAGCAGGAGGCCACAGGAAGTAATTTACGTTTAGTTATAAAGCACTGGTTTCACGGCTGATACGAATGTGGCTTGACGGCCAGGCCGACAGCCCTAAAAAAGTCCGAAATAATCTCTGTCACATTCCTGCTAGGTATCTGCCCACGGACCCGTGAGCAGGAGTGGGTGAGGATGTTACATAAAGAGACTGCATTCTCAGTGCAGTCCTGATATATATTAAGAGGGAAAAACCTGCCCTGGCACGGAATCTTGCCCAGCTCAAATTCTGCTTGGCTGTAGCCAGTTTTTATAAATAAACTCTTTCAAGTTAACTTCAGAATTTGGACTCATGACAAGTGCCTTCAAAATCTGATCAGACCATATTCAGACTCCAAAGACCAAAAACAAGTCATACCCGAGCTTACTGCCACAGGCAAGGAACAGAGAACTGTGATCAGACTCCAATGTCAGATGGCCATGCCACCCCTGCCCCTTCTTAATAGACAATAAACACCTCTAAACTGTCACCCTGAACAGGCTCTCTACTCCTGACTTTCTAAGTTTCTTTCTCACTCAGTTCTTGGACATTTTCCTTTGAAGAAAACCAGAGAAGGACAGAAAGTGACAGCCACTGACAGACTGTCTTTAAGATGAGCACTGATTGACTAGAGACAGATCAGTGTGTACACTGACATCTGTAAGTGGCTGCCTTTAGCAACCCATGGAATCTGCCAGAACCAGTGATGGTTAATCAATATCACGAACTTCCCCTGGATGAGTCAGCCTCATGGGACACCCACAGCCTAACCCAGTCATCTTGCAAAGGAGTCCCAGTTCTAAAAGTGTGCAGGGGGAATTCACCTAACTTAAGAGGCAAGTCCCAGTGATGGGACCTAGGTTTCATTTTTCTATACACCAGCCAAGGGCTATACTCGAAGGCTTTTCAAATGCGAATTTCAGGAACCAACAAGGCCAGAAATCCCATTTTATTTCATGAAAATATTTCTTCATTAAATATTCAGTTCCCGGCAAATAAGACATTTGACATTCAGATTTCAATTCTAATCACACAACAGCTAGACTGGAAACTTGCAACAAATGGCAAACCCCTCAATTCTGTATTAGAAAAACTTCCTACTGACTTTTCTAATTCCACTTGTGAGATAGTCAACAGAGTAAGATATTGGAGGAAATCAAGATAAGGTTTGCTGGTAGAAAAACAACAGAAGAAACCAATAACTGTGTTCTGTAGTAACACTTATTCGAAGAAATCACCTTATTGAAAATTAACGAGCATTTCTCCAAGAATGCAATTTTTTAAAATTGATGTTAGGGTTAGGAGGTCATGTTAGACGGATCACCAGGAAAC